GAAGGCTCGATGCAGGAAATTCGCAAGGGCGTAGCGGCAGTGGCAGATCCTCCCTCAGAGGGTGCGTTGTGGAGGGTAGGCTGGCTTCATGGGAGCCATGGCCAAGATTCCATGTGACCATCAAATCAGAAATCCCTCAATAGTTGGTGGATGCAAATCCCCCTTGTAAACGGTATCCACCAAGGTCTCCAATAAGAGCGTACCCTGTTCAGTAAACTCGACCTGGAGCTGCAAGGGGTTTGGCGTGCGGAACATCTTGACCGAACGGGTCAAGACTTTGCGATGCTCCAAGAGCGTGTGCCAGAGTCAGGGAGCCGCCCGACCTCCGGAGGGAAGAAGCGCTCGTTGATCATTCAGACTTGAGCGGGCCCAGTGGTGTCCCATCAGTTTGGCCTGGATTTATTATTATTATATTCTTTTTCTGTTGTTGCCGTTGTTTCAAGAGTATTGTACTGTAAGACATCCCTTTGAGCGCTTCTGCACTTGACCAGTGTCTAAGTTCCTGACGGAATGCGGGCACGGCATGCTCCAGTTAACGTTTGCACCAACCCTGAACTCGGAGTTGTGTGCCTCTTGCAAGAAAAGGTCTTGGGCGAATGCCACTATATCCATGGTACTACCGTTGCAATTGCAATGAAAGTTGGTCACCTCAGATGAGAGTCGTACCTTGCCATATTGAACCTGACTTGTTCCCCCATGCGTATCCTGGGAGATTTGCCCAGTTGTTTGGTGGGTTCCCCTCTCAAGCACGGTGTTTTTCCCCTGGCTGCTGGACAAGAAAGGGTGAACTTGAGACTAGCATTGGGCCGTCGTACTTCGGGTGCACCAGTGATCAAGAATTGCTTGTCGTATCAGGGAGAGTTGGTATGGCTTGGTGCCTTGTGGTGATAGCCAAGCTTGAAGAAGAAGCAGAAGAAGAAGAAGCTAGAAGAATGTGTTTTTCCATGGATGCATTTGTGCGAGCTTGTAGATCTCACTGGGTATATGCTATTGATGACGCTAGCTATGATGTGGGGACCACATCGAAAATATCACCACAAAGCTGGCGTTGAAGCCCATTGCGACTTTGCTCGTTTGAGTCACCTGCATCTCTATGCATGTTGCCAACAGAGACTTCGCCATCGCTTGAGTCCGCGCTCATGGGCAATGGGAAGAGCAGCGGATGCTGTGAAAGGAAAGGGCCGACAGGGCGTTGGAAGGCTCTGGATCTCAGAGCCATCACTGCCAGCTGAAACACGTGGTTCAAGGGTGTTTGTGTGTTTTTGCTCCCTCCAGTTCTCTGCTTGACTGCTGGGGGTTGACATGATGATTCGCCTCTAGAGCTACCTGTGGCCTGTTGCTCCTGGCTGGTGTCCTTTAACGTGCGGCCATGTAGCAACATGGATACCCTGTACAGAATTCCAACCGGGACCCAAACGGAGATCTGCAGGTGCTCCATCCCTGCTGGCCATTCGCGGCGGACGTTGGCGCTGCTTCGCCGTAAGAGAGCCTTGAGGCATGAGACTTCGCATCTCAAACGCAGAAACTTAGGAGATCCTAGGAGAGGCATTGGCTTCCAGGTGGAAGGCGGCGTCAAACAGCGACCGCGCTTCAATGCGCAGAGGTCAACGCACTGTGCCAGAGTTCCAGTCACAATAACTGCATAAAGCAAGCATCAACGGTTCAACCAATGCACATTTAAATCACAAGGCCCCCCCGCGCCTTTGTTTGGCGCAAGTCTGCATTTGTTGAGTTGAGGATTGCGAGTCGCCACTTTCACAGGTCGGAGGTCACGCAACCCAAACCGTCAGCGCTTTTCCAATTTGATCGACTTTTCCAGTCGGAAGCTTACCCCTTGCGGGAAGAACAACCGCAAAATCGGATGCCCAGCCAGGCCCGGTCCCCGCCAGATCCGGCGATGCGAGATGTGCCAGCGGTGGCGGCGCATCGGCCGATGGTGGTGCCTGGGAAAGCAAATGTTTCATACAACCGCGCCAGCGAGCACATACGTACAAATGAGAACATGTGTGCTACTTTAGTTCGGGGGCGATATCGGGACGACACGGCGATTTTTCCCCACACAAATCCCGGGGGCAACATAATACCCCCGAGTCCGTTCGGGGAACAACCAACAATTTGATAGCGCTTTGTTTGGCTCACATGGCACTCTGCATTCCTCACCATCATCCATTAGATCTTGGAGCCAATGGCAGGAATGCGGTTGCAGGCCCCAGCTTAACTAAATCTGCAGCAAACCAACCAACATTTAACCCACCCTGAACAGCCCCAAGCCCGCAGTCAATGAGTCAACCCCAACCAACTCTCAACCCAGCCTAAATCTTAATCCATCCTAAGAAAGCAAGCCAGCCAGAACGCTGCCTTGACACACCTTGGCCTGAATCAATTCTTAGCCTAATTGCCCTAAACCCGATATCCTAAACTAGTCCCAATCCTATCCACAACCAAACGTCAAAGCACCCTTGAAACCAAGTGTGAACCCGCCCTAGCCCACTCCCTCCTAAACTCACTCTGAAACAACCCCCCCAAACTTACAGCATCAACCCAGCTTAAACCCACCCTAAACCCACCCTGCCTCAGCCAACCCTAATGTCATCCCAAGCCCAACCACAAACCGACTTGAAAGCCAACCTAAACTCACCCTAAGCTGACCCAACCTACTGTACAACCATCCGAACAGTAACCAAGCGATATTGAACCATACAACAAATCCTGCCGGAAAACACTTGCTCTAAATCAACCTAAACGCACCAGCCGAAATTTCTGCCGAGGTGGCCGCCCCGCAAGCTCAAACGAGGCGCCTTGTCAGTGCCTCCAGGTTCCGCTCACCCCCAGCTGGTGGTTTGCCTTCAGGGTTCTTGACGGGTGTTTGAGCCTTTTGAAAGGACTCCAACAAAGGCAACCAGGCTATCAGGTATTTGGAGCATAAGATTGATACTCGGGGCTAGAGACCGGGACTGCCAGCAATGAATGGAAGGACTAGCATGTACAAAGCACGGGGTTGTTGCGAGGCACTAATAGGCTGCCAAACCTCGTGGACGCCCTGCATATCACGCATAAACGTTTCTTTGGGACGATTGCTGTGACTCCCTTGTCAGTTTCAGAGTTAGGAGAGATGTTGAGTAGGGGCATCTTATGCATATTGTAGGGAGTGATGGGGAATCACTATACGAAATCAGTGATCACCTGTTTGTTGAGCACCCCTTCCTCCATGACCTGCTCGTGCTTCTGTTGCATACAGCTACCCGCTGCCACCCTGTCAACTGTGGGAACAGCTCAAAGTCATGGGACCTGAAGCTAACGGCCAGCTGGAGCAGAACATTCCGATGCCGGCTTGGCGGGGCACCCAGCGTCGACATCGCGCGAAAGGGAGGGGACGAGTGTGGGTTGAACGGTTGAACGGCTCAGATTTTGATCTGCAAACTAAAGGCTGGCGTCAGTTTCAATTGTCTTGAGGCGGGTGGGGCAGCGCTGACGGTGACAGGAGCCTACAAGGCGGCTGACGTTGCTGCCCGTGTGTAGTTGCCTTTGTGGGTCCGGGATTGCTCGCATTTGCCCACGAGCCAAATATCACAATGCTGCAATGCATCTCGGTGCTGATGCAATGCGCCTCTTCGTTGTCGCTATTTCAAGCGGGCGTCGCGTACGCCGGTTGCAGACCTACTGCCTTTGGTACTGCCGGCCTTGCTGGGATGATTGGCTGGCGCCCGGCCTCAGTGCCCCTGCAAGGGCTGGGATGTGTCTCTCGGGGCTTCTTTGGGAGCAGGGAGCATGGAGGCCTGGCAAGCCAATCCCGGTGTTTTGGAGATGAAACTCATGGTATTGCAACAACAGGAGTCCCCTCACGTGTGCTGGCGTGAGCCCAGTAGTGGCAGCAAAAGAAAAGACCGGTTCTCACAATAAAGCCCATGTCATGCATGTGCACGCATGGGGCAACAATGGGCAACACTAACAGCTACTCTTTGCTTCACACGTTTGAGCTACACCAAGACATGGCAGACAGCAGCGCAGTCCAACGAGTACTCGCAGCTTAGCCAAGACCCGAGCGGCCAAGGTGCGGTACAAGCAGTGGTTTTCCGAGGATGGCGCTGTCTCCGAGGCGCAGTCATAGGTAGGCACAAAGACATTGTGCATAATATATCTATTCCCTGAACGTCGGAGGCCATTTCTGAAATGGCCTAGTACCCCTCGGCCATTTTAAGAAAATGCTCGGCCATTTGTGGGTCTTCACCAACGGCCTATTCAGGAACATCTAACGGCCAATTCTGAAATGGCTGTTAGATATGGCATTGCTTTCCGATTCAGTGTGCTTCAGTGGGTTGGGGTTGCCTTTTGAAGGTCTTGGCCAATAGCACTGAGAGATTTTCAGCAAGGCAAACTACATATACACAAACCCTGAGCTCCCTCGCCCATTTCTGAAAAGGCCTAGGTACCTTCGACCATCCTCACAAACGTCTGTTTAAAATTCGTCGAAAGGCACTTTCCGAAATGGCTGTTGTCCTGGCCCAGCAGCCAGAAGCCTTGCGTGTTATGTGAGCTTGGTCGGCATCATGATGTGTTTGAGAAGCCACCTTAACGCTCGCTCTTACGTGTGCGTGCTGGCGCAATGCGCGGCGTCTTGCAGCAGTCTCGGAGAAGCTGGAGCGTGGACAAAGCGTGGACAAAGCGTGGAAGACCCATTTGTGGGCGTGGAAAGCCATTTCTGGGAGTGGAACATCCATTTAGGGGAGTGGACAAACCGTGGACATCCCGCCGAATGCCACCTCAGACTGAAAAGCATGCAAGTTAAAGTGGCAGAGCTGAAGTCTACGGAGCTCAACTGCACGACCTTTTCAAAGACAAAAGATGATTCCAAACGAGCCTAGCTTCAACACGGGCTTGCGTCATGGCTGGACTACGGCTGCGGTAGCTTGTTGGCTATCATCGAGCAAAATAGTTGGCCAAAGCCACTGAAAACGCGTGTTTTTCTTTTTTAGGTCCTTCGACAAACAGCCAGTTCTCAA